CCACAGCTAGAACTGCTATTACTGCCATGCCACACCACCTTAGATATTACGTTCTATAGGTCTCAAATTCAAACATCAATTCTACAGGGGGTCTTTGGTAATGACACAACAATCTAGACAAATGCTGTAAAAGGAATGTGCACATGTAATCAAAGTTACTGATGTTAAGATAGGGAGATTTTTGTGGACTACCTAGGTAAGTCTAATGTAACCACTTAATATCTTAAAAGCAGAGCTAAGAACAAAATAATAGAAAATCAGAGAGATGCAGAAGTTGATCAACAACTTGACTGAGTCTGAAGTTTCTTCTACCACAGACTCCAAATAAGACTGTTGTCTGATAGTTGAAGACATAGGCCTTTGAGATTCTAAGCAGAGATCCCATTTATGTGCCTGAGCTTTTGAACTTCAAAACTCTTGATCTGGGCCAGAGAGACGGCTCAGCAGTTACGAACACTAGCTGTTCTTGCAGAAGACCCAAGTTTGAATCCCAGCACCCACATGGTGGCTAACAACCATCTGCAACTCCAGTTCCAGGGGATCTGACGTCCTCTTCTGTCCTCTACAGGCACTGCATGACACGGGTGCACTTACACACATGCAAGTAACACACTCATACACATAAATAAAAAATTTAAAAAATAGTTTTTTTAAAAAACAAAAATCTTAAAAAAAAAAATTCTGATATAATACATGAGTGTTGTTTTAACCTGCTTAACTTGTAAGCAATAAAAAACTTGTAACTGCTCTGCTTCCCTGGGCTGCACAACCCACCAGCCTCTTTCCCAGACACCTGGGCTGACTGCTTGGCCCAGAACCAACACTGCTTCCTGATCCCTTGCATCCAGACGAACCCAGTTTCTTCTCACCATCCCCAGGTGCCCCAAGGGGCTGGTCCCGTCCTCGCCTCCCTCTGTTTCCCTGGGTTGCACAACCCACCAGGCTCTATCCTGGACACCAGGGCTGACCCCACAGCTCAGACCCACCACTGCTTCCTGATCCCTTGCATCCACACAAACCCAGTTCCTCTCAAGGTCCCCGAGGAGCCCTAAGGGCCTGGTTCTGCCCTCACCTTCCTCTGCCTCCCTGGGCCCACACAACCCACCAGTCTCAAGTCCATCGCGCCCTCCGAGCCTTGAACCCCAGCCTCATTCACCCTCCCATCTCTCCCGCCCGCCCATCTCTCCTCCTAGCCTGGGTCCTGTCCCATTCCTTGTCTTGGGGCACCAGACACCCGGGGAACCACCACCGCTGCCTGATCCTTTGCACCCAGACCAACCCAGTTCCTTCTCCCACCCCCTGAGCCTGGCCCCGCCCTCACCTCCCTCAGCTTCCCTGGGCTGCAACAACCCAGCAGCCTCTCTCCTAGGAGTCCTCTGGGCTTGGTCCCACCATCACCTCCCTCTGCTTCCCTGGGCTGCACAATCCACCAGCCTCTTTCTTGGACGCCTGGGCTGACCTCTCAGCTTCCTGATCCTTTGCATCCAGACCAACACAGTTCCTCCCTGCAGTTCCCAGAAGCCCTTGGGGCCTCTTCCCGCCCCCATCTCCCTTAGCATCTCTGGGTGGCACAGCCACCAGCTGCCCAAGACCAGCATCTTTCCTAGGACCTGCTCCCAGGCCAGTCCAACCCCCAAATACCAGAGGACAACGATCGAGTTTTACTCAGCAGTAAAGAAAGATGAAATCATGAAATTTGCAGGTAAATGGATGGAACTAGGAACTGTAATAAGTGAAGCAACACAGACTCAGAAAAAAATTGACATACGTTCTCCCTCATATGTGGATCCTAGAACCAAACCCTGATAAGTGAGTATGTATCCAGACATAACTACAGGAACCAGGATAATGGAAAGGAACCAGGGAGGTAAAGGAAAAGAAAGAACCTGAAAGAGAAGAACAGAAGGAAACAGGCTTTAATAAGGGAGATATGGATAAAATTGGGTTAGTTTAAGGGAGGGGGAAGGGAAGGGTATACAAGGAACCTAGGATGAAGGGAAAGAAGGAGCTCAAAAGAGGTGGGACGGTAGGAGAAGGGTATTATTAAGGGAGAAATGGAAAAAAAAAATGAGGGCACCTTGAATAGGGAAACAATGGTGGAAGGGTTAGACAATGTGAGAGATAAACAATACCTAGCTAGTTTTAGAAAATCAGAGGGAACCACATTAGGCCAACAACCTACAGACAAATTATATGTATAACCAGATCAAAGAATGTAATATATGCCTAGGCAAGGTTTATCTGAGAGCATTTGGTCTTTGCCCAAGCTCTATCAACATGGCATATGGTAATTAAAAGTACCAGACTGGTGGAACTAACCTTCTTGGATGTTTAACAGCCATACTTTGTGGCCTATACTAATTTGGTCAGGGGGACATAAAGGACAGTTTTTGCTCCTTGCTCTCCTAGGTCGACTAAGTTCCAGGGGACTATGAACATCTCTCAAAACATCCTGTAACTGTGGTGAGTCTCCTGTCCTCTTGAGCAAGGAGGGCATGGAGACCCCACCAGATGGACCTGAACCAGTGTCCAGTCTACAAAGAGGAGGGTCAACACAGAGGAGTCATTTCCTCCATACTTCCAAGCGAAGCCAGCCATGGTCAAGCAGGACCTTTGACTTATCTTCACATAGACGGAACTGGTAAAAGAGCCAGGGGCTCCTCCCAAGCCCATGTGACACTTGAGGAACAGATCCTCAAATGACCTTAAGAGTAAAAATAAACTTTTATCTGAGCCAACTGTAGGGTCTTAAACACCAAAAGGAAAGTATAACCACATATTGAAGTTGATATAATTTTTAAGAGTCCATATGTATAGCTAAAGGCTATGTAACAAAAAACAATGCCAGACAGGTGATGTCTTCCTTTGAGTTATTGGCCAAGGTGGCACAAGAGACTCCTAGACAGTAACCCAGCACAGAACTGGGAAAATGAACAGCAGACCCCAATCTTATCTAAAGGGATATTGACAACTGATTGCTGCTAGATGAGGAACAGCTCATCTTCCTAAAACAAGGATCTCTAGATAGGCTGACGAGATTCAGCAGATGGACAAGCACAGGAGAATGGCTGGGGGTGTCGACAACAGAGAGGACAGAAAGAGGGATGACAGAGTATGTGGGCTCCAGTATGTGGGAGGGAGGAGGCTATGGGAGCATGCCACTTGGCAAGTGGGTATGTACATTAATAAGACTGTGTGGGATGCTCTATATGATATACACACAGAAAAATCAACAAATTTTTTTAAAAAGACATATTTGAGGAGGAAGCAAAAAATTTTACTCATGTTAAATAGTAGAGGTGATAAACATTATCAATGAAATCTACCTGATGACTTTATAGACATACACCAGCACCAAGGATCCAAGTGCAGCCGATAATGACTAGTAATAATCAGATACATACAGATTAGAGATGCATGTGCCAACATCTCAGTGTTAGTAGCAAAACAAATGAGTCTTTCTGCAAGGAACATTATATTCTAAAATGAAATGGAGATCTTTTTTAAAGGTTAACTTACAGGGTTTATACTGAGTTCAATACTGTATAACAGTATTAATTCAACTATGAACCTAAAAATTTACAGCCACTTTTGAAAGAGATGCATCTTTGCTCTGGAAATTGTTATTGAATATGTTAATGCTGTAATGAAATGCT